ATTTCACGAATGCCTGTAAGTGGGCATCGGCAGCTGCAGTTAAGTCCGAAGAGGTGGCGCAACCGCGGCGGACGTCGAGCAACAGGTCTAGCACTCTACACAGTTTCATGTACGAATCCAACGCTGGTTTGACAGAGTTCAGTTCGCCGCGGTTGTACCTTTCAATGAGGAGAAACCGCACAACTGCGTACAAGCTGCACGCCTCACTTGCAGTACATCCAATACTCGATTCTTTGCACTCCTTGACAAAAACCTGCTTCCCTGTCACCCCTCGAGCATTGAGATGGTCGCGAACCCAAACTCCTGAATGGCAGAGTGAAGCATTGGGCGATCAAACCCAGTTTCCTGGAGCTTGGGCAGCAGCAGTGCTACCTCCAAGTTCCAAAGACCATTCACGAAGAATGTGTGCATCGAACATGATCTCTGCGGGCAGATCGATCTCCAAGACGGTGTTCAGCAATGGGGATTCTGGGTTCCAAGTCCATCCTGCAAATTTCTGGAGTTTCTCAAAGCCAGTCTTTGTTGATGTCCTTTTCTTGCTATCCAGAATATTCAAAGTGGAGAGTATAAACTCTTTGGACGCTCTCTGCACCTTCGAACGGTCAGCACTAGTACTCGAAATCAAATCTGAAGAGTGTAAATACAGTTCTGAAGAGTACCCTACGATATTTGCGCACAGCGGGCAAAGCCGCGTGCCACTAGCGCCACGAAACTCAAACGTTTCCTTAAGCGCACCTTCGTCCGCTACATAGACGCCGACGCGGGCATAGAGCATGAGGCGACCCATGGTAAAGTTGAATACCAAACCGGACTGGAAGTCAAAAGGTTGCCTAAACAATAACAGAGCTTCTTTCATCAGCTGAGCCATTCTGCCCGGAAGTTTTCGCACAACTTCAGATCTAGCCATCACCAATGGAAACCAGAACCTTTCACAGCTCATGGCTGGTACACCCAGGTTGTATATAGACCAGTACGCAATCTGGAATTTTCTCCCCAGGCGGTTGGCGAGGGGATTGCCTGCAACAACGTCGTCCATGTAGCAAACAAATTTGAGAGGCACTTCAATTGTAGGCGGGTCATTTGACACAGCAGCCCAAAACACTGGTGCAAAATCATCGCAGGTTGCGCAATTGTAATGCAGGAAGGCAGCTGGGTTCACAAAATGAAACTCCCGTTGCCTACATTGCCGGTACTTCTCTGAGAGTTGGAACGATTTGCTCATCAGCAGCTTTCCATATGGAGTCTCGATATCTACTTCCAAGTCTTTCGACCTCTTGATCGAAGAACGGGATGTGGCTTTGGGCAAGCCATGCTTCGAGATATCTTGGAGTAGGGCTGAGAGCGCCGCTTGAGAGACTGTTTTGTAGCCAGCTCGCAGGTTCCGCAGAGAAGGCTCTTCCTTTTCACTTCCGAAGCCACTCATGCTGGCAAGAACACAGATTCAGCTCCATGAGCATAGCAAATGATTGACAAAGAACTGGTTCTGCTATGGTTATATTCATGGAATGAAATAGCAAACAAGACTTAATTCTAGCCCCAGCAAATGATTGACAAAGAAATGATTCTGCTATGGCTATGTTCATGGAATGAAATAGCAAACACGACTTAATTCTAGCCCCAGCAAATGATTGACAAAGAAATGATTCTGCTATGGCTATGTTCATGGGATCAAATAGCAAACAAAGACTTGACGCAGCTATGTTCATTCTTTTTTCACAACATATCCCAACAAATGACTGACAGAGAACTGTCTCGGTTTTACGCGTATCCGAACATGCACTCCAACGACCGCGAACTGTCTCTTTAAAAGCTTGTTTGATGCATCTATAGGGTGCATTATACATTCATGAGGCTTGAGGCCCAGCACGCAATGCACGGCGAGCAAACAACAATTTTGCGCTCAGCCCAATCATACTTGCCACAACATGCCACACAACAGGTGGGTTGATAAGCTTTTAACATGTCAGCGATTGATGTCAGCAAAGAACAATCCAGCAGCCTGACCAGACAGGTCTTCTACATGCTGCGCAAAGAACCTAGCGCACAGATCTCACCATCGCTTTTGCTTTTTCAAGCGCAGTGCCCAGAGTGGAGACAATACAAGTACAAACCTACAAGTGGAGACATGCATGTTCAGGCTCAATTGGCCTACGGCCTACGAAGATTCCTCGATCCATTTCAAGGCCTTCACCCAGCTTGCCTTCTCTGCCTCGTCGCCCTCACCGATCTTGAATTTCCTGTCGCTCTTGTCTGACTTCTTCTTGAAGCATCGCCAGTGGCCCGAAGTGTCGTTTCGATGCACTCTGCCCTGCCCCCAGAAGAACGTAGGGTCTCCCTTCTTCATGACTAGTGCCTTCTCAGCTGTCATGGGAATACCATCAGCGTTTGGAGAGACATCAGCTGGCTGCGCCTTCGCGCTCTTGGCCTGCGAGCGTTTGCCCTTAGGCTCCGGTGTCTTCAATTCTTCAGGAGTGTGGGCTTTGTCAGGCTTCGGCTTTGTCTTCGGCTTTGCCTTGCCTTTTGCAGTCTTTGCTGCTTTTGGAGGTGGATCCTCTTCTGCATCCTCTCTAGCCTGTTTGTTTTTCTTCTCACGAGCTCTCGTCGCGTTGGCCATTGCTGTGATGGATTCCTCTGCCGTCCTCTCGGGCAGCTCCTTTGGAGGATCACCTTTGATTTCGGGAATGACAAAAGGCTTTCCCGCCAACCCGTGAAATGATTCCTCCTGGCTTTCGTGCAGCTCCTTGGATGATGAACGCTCAACCTCACGGTCTTTGAGCGCGGCCACTGTAGATGCCACAGGCAATGAAGAAGCATCTGCACGAGATGCCTCTGGCGCGCCACCCTCGAGCATCTTCTGCTTCTTTCTGGTGTTCCCAAAGAGTTGCAGGCCCTGCAGCCCACCTGGAGCCTGCCCTTCCTGTTGCCATCCGGCCATCATGGCCATCATCTGCATCATCATTGCAGGCATTTGCTGCGCATTGCCAGCAGCCAGCGCCGATTTGTTTTGATACTTCTCTCGCACATCTGAGTGTGTCTTGCGAGCCGGTACTGTGTGCCCTGCTCCAAATGAGCTGGAACTGGAACCTGTGAAAAAACAAACAACATGCAAACACAAGCAAACACAAACGGCTTCAACATGCAAATAGCATGCAAAAACGCACAGCATGAAAACAACATGTCAAAACACACTACATGAAAGAACACACGCAAAACGCACGTCAACCCCCATAAACTGGCGCATTTCGGCTACGCCGATGTGCCTTGACGAGAAATACCCACAGGCTTGTCCTTGTCTACCGGATTATCTCCATAGGCTGACTTCCACAGTTCCTCAGGTAGCTCTGCAGGGTCTCCTGGGTAGATCTCCAAGTGAATGGAGGGATGCGGCAGATGCTTGATCTTTGCCTTCAGCTGGGTTTTGAACTCTGTCAGCAGCACAAACCGGTCTTCTGGGGTCGGAGCTGAAACACCACCTCAAATATACTAAAGGGAGGAAAGCACGAGGAAATATATATATATGTATATATATTTCTATGAAGATGACACACTTGCACAGGCATCAAAACGATGCGTGTATATATGTATATTTATGAGTGCCCGACGACGCAGTAGTCTTCGGCTGGGTATGGTGTTATGAAAAGTTCATATAGGGGCCCACACAAAGCGCGGGCAGGCAGTCCCCGACTTAAAGCGTTTTGATAGTCTATGGGAACTGTGCCCGGAAAGCGTCCTCTTTCTCCACTATGACGGGCACAACAACAACAACAACTACTACTACTACCACCACCACCACCACCACCACTACTCTTACCACCACCACTACTACACCTCCTGCTGCTACTACTCCTACTACTCCTACCACTACTTACTACTACTGCTACTACTACTACTACCACTACTACTAGTTCGTCTCCGACTACTACCAATACTACTAGTACTACAGCAGCACTACTACTACTACTGCTACTACTACTACAACTACTAATACTACTCCAACTCCCACTACTACCACTACCACTATAACTACTACTCCTCCTCCTCCTCCTACTCCTACTCCTACTCCTATTCCTACTACCACTACCACTACCACTACCACTACTACTACTACTACTACCACTACTACTACTACTACTACTACTACTACTACTACTACACAACTACCACTACTACCACTACCACCACCACCACCACCACCACTACTACTACTACTACTACTACTACTACTACTACTACTAATACTAGTTGACCGATAGGGAGCCACCCGAACACATCTATTCAAAGAAATGCCACCCGAACGTGAGAACCGACAGGGCACATTTCCAATTTTCCACTTTGGACTGGCCCCGAAACCTGGCCCCAGAACGTCCCATAATGAAGTGCGTATATCCCTGAGGTTCTGGGGTCAGATTGGGGAACCGCCCAAGGTGGAAACTTAGCAAGGCCCATGGTGTCCATTGCGGGTAATAGGCAATACTGTCCGACTATATATATTTATATTTAGATGTGTCCACATACGTTTCAAGATAAAATGCTCCTTTAACGTCATTATATAACTGCTTTATTCAAAGGAAGAGGCAAATCTTTTCTGATGATAATTGTTTCTAGAGTACTTTGTAGGAGGAAGGGGCCGGAAACATTTCACAGGAAGGCCAAGTGGCAGTCGCACAACGAAGCAATGATGTGTTTCAGTGTACCGGTGTTCGGTAGATGCAGCCCCAACGCAGCGCAGCGCTCGACGGCAAGACCGACCTTGACCATTGCCCCCACATCTGATCCCATGACCCGCAAGTCGTCACCAGTCAAATACGACCGGAACGCTTTCAACTCCTGCATAGGCCGCCGAGCCTTCTTTGTGCTAGGGACAGCGCTCACTGCATCTGCGAGCGCAGTGCCCAACAGATTCTTCTGAGTCTCACTCCATGGACCCTGGCTGAGCATGTTGGACAAAGCTGCGCTCGTGCTTGGCACAAGTTTGTTGGACTTGAAACGTTGGCACCATTGCTCAACTTGGGCATCAACAGTTTTGGCAAACTGCCCTGGCTCCAAGATCTTCTTTTGGTTCCACAAAAAGGTCTGGGTGTGCCGAAGATCTTCCTCGAGAGAGGACATCCTCTACACCCTGCAGACACCCCCCTTCAATCTTTGAGCATGCGAGCGACCAGCATGCTTTCAATCATGCCAAACATGTCATCAACATTATCAAATGATACCACATGAGCAAAATGGCACAAACATCAACACATATCATGTGAACTTATGCCACAACAAGCTGCCGTTGTAAGCTTATACTTACCCAACAACACTCGCAAGGCACCTTGCCCTGTAGAAGGCAAGGCCGGTGGCTGCACATCTATGTTCACCTCACGCAAGGCAACAGAAACCAAACAAAAGGAATCCAACTCTCTAGGCGCATGCTCGGTGACAAGCCTCAACAGCACAGCTAACGACAGCGTGCCAAATTGTTCTTTGTTGCACAGCCATGCGCAACATGGCGCGCAGTAAACCAACATCGTTTATGGGCTGGGCCCCAAACCCTGCTTGCAGCAGTGTGTTTTGACTCGCCACGACACATGTGTGTTTCAAAATCCTACGCACACAAAATCCTACGCACACAAAATTGTACAGATCGGAAAATCCAATATGGTCGAAGGCCACTCACACATACAAGGCGGTCTCAGACGCGGCAGCTTCCAGCGTCTCCATGGAGCATGGCAAGCACATAGCTTCAGTGAACCACCAGCCAGCAGGCTGCTTCTTGTGAAGCCGGACCCTTTTGAGCTTCTCCTGACGTACATGTCTCTTGAAGATGACGGACAGGTCGCGCGCACATGTCTTGCTCTTGGAGGGGAGGAGATTTACCTTGGTGTACAGGCTGTACTCATGCGGGGCTCGCTTCGACATCTTCTCCAGCAGCACCGCCTTGAGCTGGTGTGCGCGGATGACGTCATCTTTTTGCACCACCATTTGGCAAGCTACGTTTCCGCCCAACGTCAAAATCTCAAAAACGATGGCCTCCCCATCATAGGATGCGTGGAGGTTCAACGTCTTCGACCCGGCTGGTACACCGCGCGCCACCACTTGGCATGAGAAACGCTTTGAAGCGAACAAATGCATGGGGAGGTCATGTGAGTCTTTCTCATGATCACACTGGTGAAAAGGATACAATCCGCCAGTCATGCCATCCATGATGCGCTTCATTTGCATTTGAGGAAGACGTGACCAATTGAAGATCTTGTTCCATTCCACTCCGCTGAGGGTCGTTGCCTGCACCAAGGCATACTCGAAGACCATCTGGGCCATTCTACAGTACAGGATGTCAAAGCACAGGATGTCAACACCACAAGATCTTAAAATAGCTGCTGTGGAAGTAACACATTCAACCATCTCACACTTTTCCCGCGCAGCAAGCAAGGGCCAACACCAACACCAACTCAAGCAAACGCATGTAACAATAGCAAAATGCGCCTATAGCACGTTCGCCACATGATAGACTCTGAGAACTAATGAAGGTTTGACATTTCGACATACAAAGATCGTGCGCTCTCAATCAAGCTTGACTCTGCATCCGCACTGGCTCTCCTGTGGTGATGATGTCAAGCGGGACCTGCGCGAATCAGTGGACGACATCGTACTACGACACGATTCGACCAAGTCAACATCAATTCGATCAGCGACAAGTTCGAATCACACACTTGATTCATGAACACGGCTTTACCGACTCACAATCATATGAATTACCAGTGTGACGTACAAGAGTTGTGGCATGCACAAACACACCATTTTTCTAACGTCTATCTTAACTTGAACCGTGAACCTCACAATATGTTTCTCTTCTCTTGCAATTTTCCACTTGGGTTGGCCTGCGAAAAAAGACACCCACAAGTCCAGGTCAACCTGCCTGAAACGCAGGTTTTGAAGGGTGAAAGCCGGACTTGTGGGGGTTCTTTTTCGCAGACCAATCTAAGTGGACAATTAGCACTCTTCTCCTTCGGTATGTATACATGAGCTTAAGCAGACCAAATGCCCACCACAAGTTGAAATTGGAACCATTGACGATGCTTAATGAACATAAATGACTCCAGCTCCAGTCCAGCGTCCTGCATGAAACAGTTCAGTCTGTATATCGCATATCATATGATACATGCATAAGAGTGGACAAACAAGTTCCAGTTGTGAAATACTAACAAATGGCATGGATGGTGCAAACGCCTGAACCCTCACCCTAAACAATGATCCTGTGAACCACACTCACAACCAACCAATCTATGGAGCTATCAAAACGACGCATCAATCGCCACCCGACTTCCAAACTCAAAAACTTTCAACTTGGGGTGAAGGCACCAGGTCACCCAAAAGGAAACTTGGGGCGAAGGCCTCCATGCAGCTCATCTCGCATGTCCAAAGTTGGGAAGGAACCTGCAAAGGGAGAATGCAGCAAAACAGATGTGAATCATCAAACAGGCGCCAATTGTCATGTTGCTTGATGTTACAAAGCCAGCGTCGGATTTCTAAGGTTTTGTGAATTCACAAAAGTAAAAATAGAAACTTGTGCGAACACAAACGGTTGTGTCAGAAAGTAGTGCAAACACAAAAGAAACTAGGAAATCCTGAAACAAAAATGTCCGAACACAAAAAAAATAATGCAAAGTTGCGCGAACACAAAAAAAGACATTGCGAAAAAATGCAATCTCAAACACACAGCTTGGGGAGTCCCCCCATAAAGGAAACTCTCGCCAATTTTTCTTTGAGCCTAAATGATTTCTGACACCAAATCCTGTCCACTCGAGTGCATCTTCAACGAAACCTATCGCCAGGTCCATGTTTTGCAAAGGAAAACAAAAAAATCACCTCAAACTCTTTTTCAAGCAAATTCATCATCACCGTGCACTCCAGCGGTCTCCAGCCGGACTCCAAGCCTCAAAGCGCCAGAAACGTTTGGCCTTGGCATGTCAGACTCATGCGGTGAACACAAATCCAGAACAAATATTGGTGAAACTATTGGTGATTTACCAACCAAACCAATAGAATAAATAGTTTCAAATGCATTGACATGTCCTCTTGACCTCTCTAGGAAGATCATTGGTTTGACCACTCAAGCCCCTTCGTGCGAAAACAACAATGCGCATTGCCCACCCATGCTGCATGCGCAACCCTCATGAAGTTTCACCACATTGCAAACAAGCCAAAAGTGTTCATCAAGGAAACAAGCAAACACAAACAAACACATGAACAAACAACTCGGTCCCAAACCCAACCATTGCGAACGCACACTCCTTCTCCTTCTCTCAGCAGCGCTATCGCAAACCGTCACGTTTGACTCCAATACTGTACAGTATTCGGCTCCTGCTGCACATATGCAATAAAGTTAGCGTGAACATATATACAAATGTATGGCTCTATCACGGCATCTCAAACATGGCTGAATACTTGGCTGACATGTTTGTATGCTCCTAGATGTTCTATGTGGCAGAGTGTTTTTACGTTCTATGATTTTATGTGCAGCATGGCTATTCCTGCCCCCATCATGGCCATCACGACTTGCTTCGGCGAGCCACTTCCACCAAGGTGGTTGCCAAAGCCCCAGCTGCTTGCACCAGCTCCCTCCGCAGATCTGGGTCCATGGAAGCATTGCCCACAGTCTCCTCCACTTCATTGATCTTCCGGATGCCTTCCTCAGAATGGTAGCTAGACTTCACCGCGACACATTCCCCACAGCAGAACACAACACCAACACTCAACATCTAGAAGAAAGCCTTCTTAAGTGAGGTTAAGAGTCCTTGGCGCGGATCACAGCGCCGCCGCGCACGCGTGGGCGATCACGCGTGCTTCCACTGGCTCTGTAGTCGTGGATCTCTCGGGCATCAATCATCTTCCCATCAATCTTGACATGCCCTTGGCCATCCCAGACTTCCTGAGGTTGGGAAATCACTACGCAGCTGAAACAAAAACATTGAGAAACATACAATGCACAAATATCTTTAAAAAACATCAACATCAATCAAAAAACTATCACCCACTTAATCTAACAAACCACAACAAACAAATAATATGTTCCAATGAGACCAAAACTCTTTTTTCCCCTGACCATTCCAATAAACACCCTCCCACTTGTAGTACTCGTCATCAGTATCGGTGCGCCAGGTCCGCCACTCACTGGTGCGCTTGCCCCCTGCAGTCTTTGCGACCTTCTCATCCGATGGGTCCGATGCTGCCTCAGGAATTCATGGCAAAGGTCGATTTTAAACAAACTGTTCAATTCAAACAGAGTCTAAATTGGTCTATTGGATACCTTCAAGGATCTTAACAGGTTGGGTGTTCCCTGCATGGTGATCATGACGCAAGCTGACTCTGCAACGTCGTCGATCTGTCTGACTTAACAAAATTGGTTGGGGAAAGCGCTAATGAAATCACAAGCAAGGGTGCTGCTGCAACATAGGCTGCAACATAGGCGGCTGGAAGGCAATCCGGAAGAGGAGGTGGCGCCGGAGCCGCAGTCCGCTTCGACGGCGGCGGCGGCGGCACAAGCCCTGCAGGCCATGAAGACTTCATGTCGAGCGCGCGCTTCACCGATCCACGCGGCGCCACTGTCTCCTAAGTGGACGCCAATATATCAACATCACAAATCAAACAGATGTACATAACACTGTTATGGAGCTTGCGTTGGAGTTTTTACCTGGCTAGCCCAGTGCCCAGGCAGGTAAAAGCACCAGCCGCAAAGCCCATGAGAACAAGAGTATTTTGATTGGCAATGCACCAGCAATCTGTTAGTGAGGTCCAACACTAATAACACAGTTTACGTGTATAAATACACTATCATTTAACTATATAATGTAACCTTTCCAAGTGAGCTTCAAGGACTACCAACTACCATTCAAAAAGCCTTGAGTTCAATCTATTGCCATGACTCCCTGTCATTCAACCGCTTCGCCACTTCCACATGCGCAGGAACTTCAGGCTGTTCTTCTTCCTTTGTTTCCTGAGGACGCTTTCAACATAGCAGCGCCTTGAAAACCACCTTGAATCTAGTTTGCCAAGGCGACTAAAGAACAGCAGTTCAAAAATGACAATGTATATAAAACAATGAACACTGTAAAACAAACAATCTGTGACGTACAACCTGAATCGAGAATCCTTTTGGTGTTCCTCTTTGGCTCTCCATGCCCCCCATGAGTCCTCATTGTCGTCCTGCTGGCGCTTCTCCTCCTTACACGTCTCCTCTTTGACTGGTGGCTCCATCTCCATGGGCGCTGGCAATGACCCAGTTGGGAGCAACTTTACGAGGTGTGTGATGTCACATGGTCGTGTCAGATGTACGCGTTGCGCGTGCGTTACATTGGGCACCACAGCCCCCCCAAAAAAGCTATGCCCTTCAGTGTGTACATGTGTATATATATCTATATCTTGATTGCTTGCATGGTGTATGCGAATGCCATGGGCCAGCAAAGGTTTTGCAGCTTGCCCGCAAAACCGCAAGTCTGCGGCGGCATGACATCAAAGCGCGCGTTACACCCAAGTGCCAATTTTCCTTTTGGGTTGGCCACAACTGGGTCAGATGAACACCGATTTGGGACCAAGTGGAAAATTGCAACACCCAAGAAATGACTCCCCACCAACTCCCAACGTCCGGCTTCGAATTGATTTGGATGCCCCGACAGCTTGAAGGAGATCAGGAGATAGTCGATGTCGAAGCCGATGTCGATGGCCTGAGACGAGGTCACAATATCACATTGTCCCTAGGTCAAAATGGCAACCTCACGAACCCATTGCTCGTGCACAGATCTCACTCATCCCTTCGTATATATACTATCTATATAGTCGATACTATCCCTTCATATACTATTCCTTAGTATTCGTGGTACGAATATCAAACAAATCGAGCCACACATCAACGAAGATCAAACTACTCCGCCTTGTTCTCCTGGTAGATCTTGCAGCTCTCCCTTATTTGCATCGCGCACGCAACTCTGACGTACATCAATTGCGGCTGACGCCTTCATGTGAGGGGTGCTTGAGATGCCGTGAGCATATCCAAGTACAAAGGACTCATACCAACATGCTTTAGTTGGGTTGGAACTGCTCTCAAGACATCCAAGAACGCCCGCGTTATACAACTGAATATTCAAAATGATTCAAACTCAAAGATAATGAAACTCATAGCTACCTGACCCAAACATCAACTCCTATTTACCCGAAATGAACAAGCTCTGACAGAAGGCGCAAGTGAACTCCAGTGAAACGACAACTACATGCGCTTACGACCGTATGTGTCTCAACATCTAGACAATGACCAGGGCACCACGCTGGATCTGCAGCGACATCACCAATCCTGGTGTCAAGCCAAAAGTCCTGACAGTCGCCAAACTCATCTGACCTGTTTGCGACAAGCGCATTCCATGGGGTTCAACCTGAGGACCTTTGCCATGTGCCACACTCTTCGCGATCCATCAACAAAACCAAGTCGTTCCAAACATGTTGCGAAGGAGTTTTGGATAAGGTCGTAACGCTTACAAGAAGCACATCACGCCAAACAAAACTATACCCTGAGCCTGCCAAACGACACTTTCACCAGTTTTCTTTTGCCCACGCTATACTGCGCTGCTCCGAACCTAAAATGCACAAGTAATTACCATCAGGATTCTTCTGCGTCTGACTCCATGGACCCTGGATGAGCATGTTGGACAAAGCTGCGCTCGATGTCACTTCTTGATCAAAGCGTCAATCTCTGCAATCGCTGATCGCCAACGCTGCATAGCTTGTTCCCACCCTCTCTTGGTTGGATGCGATGAGGAGCGAGGAGTCGACGGCATATCATCGGTTTTGTTCTTCTGGTAGATCTCTGATGCTTGTCAGCGGTTGCCGTCGATGGCTTCATGGGACAGATGCCTGAGATGTCCAAGCAAAAGAATCCTGATACTGGTGCCAAGATGCTGCAGATGAAATATTCTCGAGACATGTAAGAACGTACACATTGTACGATGTGACTCTTGAGCGCATGTTGAACAAATACAGTTTTGGGCCTTCAGAACGTTTCAATAATGTCTTGCGAGACGTATGATCCCAGCAAGCCCATTGAGCCTTTGTCAGAACGTTTCAACAATGCATTGCGAGTAAATCACCCAGCAAACCCTTTGAGCTTTTGTCAGAACGTTTCAACAATGTCTGGCAAGTAAATCACCCCAGCAAGCCCATTGAGCCTTTGTCCCCACGTTTCACAAATGTCTTGCGAGGCAAATCACCTCAGCAACACCAAGATGCATCAAGGAATGGTTTCCTCTTCCTCTGCCCTCGGCAAAGATTCAGACGCACGACGTCGGAGTTTTCTACGCCGTTTCGGCGACCCTCTCAGCTTCTTTTGTTTGACAAAGCGCTCACTCACTCTGAGAGCTGCCAAAACATACGTCACCGTCGCTTCAGTCAGCTCCAGCCATACATCGGCGCCCTTGATTTGCCACAGCACACGGCACGAAATCTCAGGGAACTCTCGACCAGGTTCAGAAAAGGCGGGCAATCGAATCATCACAAACCTTTTGTCTATGAGAACCCCATCATCGTCCTTGGCAGCACGAAGGCGATGCATGGGTTGATCATCCTCAGACTCTTTCAGCTTACGATGCAAGGCTGCGTCACACGCTTCTTTTCCTCGACAATGTTTTTCCACAGGCTCTAAACACATAAGTAAACACAAAAAACGACATACGTGAGTTATATGAAGTGTGCATTAAACACATGTAAAAGCCTTGCGTACACCACGCACATACATTGCGTTAACCTATGCACGCGTTTGATTCGACCCTGCTGACTAGTGTCGGAGCTTGCGGAGTTCTTCCCAAAAAACAACCTGAAGGTCGCGCTTTTCTTTCGATTTGTGACGCTGCATTCCTTTGCCAAAGGCGAGCTTGCAAAGAGTGCTGTCCCATTTGGAAAACCTGGCAAAAACGTGGCCTTCCACTTCAGCTACATCAGGTAGCCAACAAGTCTTCTTCATGTTCCCGACACGCACACTGAAGACCTTCTGAATCTTGACAGTCGGATCATCTTCATCACCTGAGCCCTCATCAGCAGCATTCTCCTCCTCTACATCAGACATGAAGGTAGAAGCGCGCTCACGCAATGATTGGCAAGGCACGTGTAAGCCAAACACTTTATAGGTTACTACGGACCCCACAGCGGAACTCGGACGTCACGCATAAACGCTTCAAGTATAATTCAAACAAAACTCATCTTAATATATTTAAACGCTCTCTCTTTTTCTCGCAGATGGCTTATGTGGGTAAACTGTCAAGTTCCTTTCAGGAGATCCTGAGCTTCTTTGCATATCTCTTATGCATTTCGTTTGCCTTGCTTCGGCCGACAGTCACCCACTTCCGCTTCAGCTAAAACAGGGATTCGAGCGTTTCCTTCATCACGGGACAAGATGGGCATTCTAGTTTAAGTTCACCTAGGAAACTCAATGCGTCGAGAGATCCTCGGCTCGGGGGATCGGCCACATTACTGCTTGAAGCGACCCTTGCGATCCAAGTCAGGGATTCAGACCTGGCGTCAGTTTTCTCCACCTCCAGGAGGAGGTGTCTCCACGAAAGCAAAGCCGAGTAACCCCTCACAAAAACATCTATGGTCGTCCAATTGTCACAGAAGAAAATCACTCTTTCGTGCTTCAAGTCCGCCGACCAATGTTCGAACGCTGTTGCCACTCCATACAACTCGACGAGACCGATCGGATGACTGGACTCAGACAGCCATCTTTCAAGCAAAGCTGGATGCACTTTGGTCCCAAACACTCTGGCCCTGCTGTTCGGTCTCAACATGACTGCTCCTATGGTCGCCAAAGGTTCGTCTCGATCATCGAACTCGAAGGCCCCGTCGGTGTAAATCAGAATCGGTTTGACAGGGTCCCCTGCTGTCAAAGTCCTGGGCTTGCCTTCCGAGAATCTTTGCTTGAGGATGAGTAGGGAATCTATTACTTCGAGGGATAAGCTATGTTTATCCTTAGAGTCATGTCCAAGAGCCCTTAAGTCTGCCATGGCTAAGCCACCCATCTTTCCTGCCAACTGCATGTCTGCGAACTGCATCCTACCAAGGATCGAAGGAAGCTGGATTGGGATCACAAAGCCGTCGCCTAAAACCTTGTCAATAGTCTCCAGCAGTTCCTGTTTCCTCGAAGGTTTGTTGTCCACGACTATCTTGCCCTGAGAGGCTTGGGACAGATTCACGAGCACTCCTAAAGTTTCGGCTTCTTCCCCGAAAGGTGCCAGCTTCTCTTCGGCAAAGGCGAAACCTAGAAGTTCAAAGAGACCTTTCACGCATGTCATGGTCGACAGCTGGTGAGCCTCATGCGTGATTGTAGGGTAGTCGTCAAAATAGTTAGTCCACAAGATTCCCAGCCAAAGACCCAAGGCCCAGATGAGCCTTGAGATGCGGTTGAAGTGGAGCACACTGGCCACACTTCCAAAAGGAAGGGCACGCATTTCAAAGCATACAGCAGACTTGGTGTCGGGGTTCTTCAGGGTCACTATCGAACAACAATACTCCTCTGGGTGTAGAGGGAGTTGCTTGTAGGCCGACGCAAGGTCGAACGAAGTCATACGGAACTGACCTTGGGCATTTGACCAGGACTCGTGCACCTGACCTTTAAGCCGGCTCCCATCACTAAGCTTGAAGTCTATTGCTCCTCGGTGTTTACAAAACCTGACGCATACGCAAAGACTCCACAAAATGTGGTCCAAAGCATGAAGATCGATTTTGTCGCAACTGGAAAAGCAGTCGTTAAGATGATTTTCCTTCATATCATCTATTGGTCGAAGTTTTCCTTTCTGTCTGACTCCAAAGCGCCTAACCGGCAACCAAGTCCCCTGGTGCCTGTCGGACACACTGCTCGGATCGAGAGGCCCTTCGAGCCACCCCTTTTCGTTTGCCTCTCGGAGGGTGATGTCGTACAGTTCACGCTCATCTTCATCCTCAACTACCTGGTGGTTCAATGTTCCCAAAATCAAAGGTCTTATATGAATTTCGAATCTTGCATGAGCTTTTCCTTGCTCATGCTGGCCGGACGAAATTACTGTTTGAAGATGTGTGAAGGGGGAGAGTGACCTGTAAGCTTAAATCCTTCTCTGAGTTCTTGATGTATTCGTTCATCGGGCCAACCGATGTCTTTGGCAAGTTCTTCAAGCACCAGCAAGCGTTTTCCCTTTAGGATCCTAGCCACTTTGGGGCTCAGTTTCTGTGCAGGTCTCGCTCACGCATCTGCAAAGCCCTGGCCTTTTGCATCCAACTATCCAATGTCTTGATCCTATGCTTGGTGAGCTCCACCAACCCCAAGGTCAAGTTCAGAAACAAGCAACGAATGAGATCATCTGGCAAGTTCATCAGTTCGTCGTATGGATGCCACAACTGACGGGAGACCTCAACAAAGGACTCCATACTCCTATAGACCCCGAAAACGCACAAGACCTTCTGTCCCGGTTTAGCTTCAGATCTCAACAAACGAGCACCGCATGGCAGGTCGCCTGGAGTAGTCTGCAAGTATTGTTTGGAGTCAAGGGAAGGCACCCGGTCTAAAAGTCGTGTGATTTCTTGGCCGTGCTCTGGCACTATTTGCGGCAAGCGACGTCCTCTGGGCTGTTTCTGAGGTTTGGCGGCCTCCTGTTGTGGGAACTCCCAGAGCTGGCTTTTCCTTTGGCATGCGGCCATTTGTACCATCTTCACGCATGTGCTTCGGAGGTCGCCGCAAGAAGAACACAGCTTTGCTTGGGAGCGACGCCCGCTTTAGCTGCATGGAGAGATTTTGTGATGGCACGCATTCTCACGAGAGGTGAGGATTTGACTTGAAGGCACAGGTTTTTGACACTTCCAAAGAGGCAGAATATCCTAAAGAATTGTGCGAAGCGCACACTGATATTTTGGTCACTTTGGCTGAGGCATGGCATTTCTATCCCTCTCGAGGCCTCACAACCAGGAGTTACTGGGGTTCTCAATGACGCTCGAAAAACTCAACAGACATGTTTTTTTCCCGAAAGCATTGCGAAGGGTTCTTCGGGAAAATCATTTGAACACTCACACTTCGACACTTACACTCACACACACACACTGGAAGAGCGAAAGCATCCAACTGCGAAGCATGCCAGTGTCAAAGCATGCAAGTGTAAGTGTGCAAGCATGATGTGCAAGGGTGAGTGTGCAATGATATGCAAGGGTGAGTATACAAGCATGCAATGAGTAGGCAAGTGTGAGTATGGAAAACTAGCCAGGAGATGTCCTATGAAAAAACATTTCCCCACTTTACTATTCTCTCTCAAAGGCGGAGTGCGGGACGAACAGCGTCAACCGAAAGTGCAACCCTCTGCGGAGATCGTGCGTGTCGAGTGCGCGAAATGCAAGGCGAGAGT